CACTCACGTGAAACTATTTTTTCGTTGGGAGGAAAGGGAGGGGCTTGGGGGGGGGGGGGGTCCGATAGTGACGTGGGACTGATGCAATAGCATTCCGGTGAGGTTGAAACCGACGGGTCGCTATATCCCGCTGACCCGCGGCCCGCGCCCCCGACTCTACGCCCGACCGTCAATCCGTTGTATGATAATGACTATCTCACGCTTCCATCACGTTTGTCACCAAACTGTGAGACTCACCCCCTCAAAAAAACTTTTAAAAGGAAAAGATACTTTATATTTCCATGACGAACGCGTATTCGTTTCCCGTTTCAGACTATATAATTAGATGCGTCACTCTAGGCCTATCCCGCTTGATGATCGTCGGCAGCATAACCCAACACCTACCACTTTGATGAACATTTGAGGCACGGTGCCTGCGGTGCGAAAACACCAAACGCCCTGACGTAACAGTCTGAACAGAATGCGGGCTAATAACCTAGCGCCAGCGAGCGGGGTGGGGCGGGGCGGGGCGTGGCGTTATGAAGCCGCGCACAGCAGCGCAGCCACGCAGGAGCAGCAACAGAGTCAGCGGCAGGCAAGGTGAAACGGAAAGTTGTTTATCGGCCGGCCCGCTGATCCGATCGGCTGCTCGTGCGCTATTTGCCTCTGCCTCTCGCTATACAAGTCACGCTCGTATGTGTATAGGAAGTGGATCGCCGGGTGACGCGCGCTGCTCGTCTCCCTCGGCGTGCGCGGTCGTGATGGTGGCGGTGACGAGCAGCGCACAGAGACCACGCGCTAACAATAACGCGTCTGGAGCAGCAGGAGCAGCAGGAAAAGACGAGCGAGAGAGTCCCCGTTCGAAACGGCAAAAGTTCTTTGAAAAAGGCGCGATAAAGAGCAATAAAAGGCGCCGCTGCTCCTCCTCCAGCGCGCCGCCCCCGCGTGACGCAATGACTGCGGCTCCTGGTACATACGGCTCCCCGACGGGCTGCTCGCGGTGCACTGCTGCTGGGCCGCGGGGCCCGCCCGCGCCGTGCTCGGCGACGCACAGGCTGGCACGCTCCCCCGCCCCGCTACGGCCCCGCCACGCCACGCATCACGCTCCGGTATATCGCGTTACGCCCCGCCGGAGCCCAGCGGATCCAATACTACGGGCATCGAGCAGCCACGGGACTGTGACTGGCGCGGCTCTCTGGGACCATCGGGGACCATCGCCCATCAGCGCGAATGACGCCGTGACCGAGAGGAGAGGATGACAGTGATGGTCTCCTGGCACAGGTGGTCGGATTAATCCACATCATCATGGTCGGAATCTCACCTGTCTATGAGTTTTCGATAGGTGTCCGATTTGAGAGAGACTGGCGCCCATTCGAGAGGCCCGTCACGCGCGCGTGGTCAGCAAAACTATACATACATCGCCCTCCGTACGATTCAAACGTTTCGCGGGCGTCCGGCCGCCCCTGAACAGAATAAGCGCTGACCCATGGACACCCCGACTCTGCGGCGTGATACCTATTATAGGGAGTTGCGTCAGGTGTGCTGCATAATGGTTAACGATCCCTGCTGTTGCAGACGGATGACTAGTGTGTTTGTGACTGTGGCCCCCGGCCGCGGACGGGGTGGCAAGCGTGGCGGCACGTAGGCCGTGTGTCAGCTGGAGTGGGAGGGCCGCGGTCACCCGAGGGCCGAGGGCCGCCGTGCCGCTGGACAACAGGTGCCGACTCACCCGCCGTTGTTGTGATAGGCGGGGCGGGTCAGTGACCCTCGCGACACACATCCATATTGACACGTTCGCGCGCGCCGGCACCATCGCGGCAATCGGCAATTAACCGCTCCGCGGTGCCTGACTGACTGTCCGCTGCTGGGCGCCTCCGTCTGGTCGTGCCCAGGGCACCGCGGCCCGGGTGGCGCCTGCTGCTGCTGTACAACACTCTGCCGCTGCTGTGTACACTCGGCCCCGCACGTGCGGCGTGGTGGCCCGGCGTCGCGACGCGCGGCAGTGCGCCTCCTCCTGGACGGCGCCGCCGATGGTGCGAGAAGAGAAAGAAAGACAGCACGCGCCGCGCGTCCCCAGGGCCGCCGCGGCCGGTACACGGCGGTCGGTCGGTGCAGCGAGCGGCAGATGTTGTAGTACGTTCGCGTTGATGTCATTGTTTGCCGGGCCTTAGAGGAAGTGTGTGAGTGCGAGTGCGGCGCTTCGCTGGGACGAGTCACACTGTAAAAAATTTCGAGGGTAATTTTACCCTCGAAGGGGACACAACGCTCCTTTACCTCACCAGGGTAAATAAATTTACATACCCATAGCGGTGTAAATTTTACCCACCACTGGGTGGGTGAAATTCTCTACCCAAGGGGTGCTATTTTGTCCTCGTGGGTAGGTAAAAGCGATTTTCATGCCACGAGGATAAAATGAAGTTCCATACCCTTTAGATAAAAAACAATCCGATATGCGCTGAATGCCACAACGCCCACCCAGGAGGGTGAAAATGTTCCCCAAGAGGTCAAGCAGTATATGTGAATGAAAAAGAGTGACCCCTTCCGCCTCGTGCCACTTTAGCGAGTTTTATTTGGTGATTTCGGGCCGACAGGACTGTTTCCAATTCAGACGGTTGCCGCAATCATTTTCAAAAATTTGGTCATCAATCTCATGGAGAGATCAGGCCATCGCAGCGACCAGTGAAGTCACCGCCACATTAGAGGTACGCGCGGAGGCGCACCCCCCTGCGACGAGGTGACGGGGCCGTACCGAACAAGGTGTTGTTGCGGGGACCTCCGGAGCGTTAGAGTTTAACGGATTATTTCTGGGATATGGTTGACTTTTTCGGCAAACACAGATCGTTGCCGGTTAGGGTGATTCCTTGTAAAACATACTGCGTAAAATTAATAGCCATTTTCTCAGGGAAATTTTAATTAAATAGAAAAAGCTCATTTTGTAGGAGACGCGCAGACTGAAACGCCATCTAGCGGCAGTCTATTGCGGGCTTCGCGTCGAGGGGGCCGAGGGCAAAGAAAGGAGGTGATTGGTTCTGAGTGGCGTGGAGTCGGTGGAGTAGTAGGCCGAACCCACCTCTCCTCCCACGATGCTATGGCAGTCACAAATTTGTGG